CCACCCGCATCAAGAGGCTCTTTAGTTCCTCTTCAGAGTGGTATCATCTGCATATCTTAGGTTGTTGATATTTCTCCCGGCAATCTTAATTCCAACTTTTGATTCATCTAGCCCTGCCTTTCTCATGATGTGCTCTGCATATAAGTTAAATAGGCAGGACGACAGTATACAGCCTTGCCAGACTCCTTTCCCAATTTTGAACCAATCAGTGGTTCCGTGTTAGTTCTCACTGTTGCTTCTTGACCCGCATATAGATTTCTCAAGTGACAAATAAGATGGTCTGGTACTCCCATCTCTTTAAGAACATGCCACAATTTGTTGTGATCCACACAATCAAAAGCTTTAGCGTAGTCAATGAAGCAGAAGTAGATGTTTTTCTGGAACTCCCTAGCTTTCTCCATAATCCAGCGTATGTTGGCAATTTGATCTCTAGTTCCTCTGCCTCTTCGAAATCCTCCCTGTACTTCTGGTAGTTCTCGATCCACATACTGTTGGAGTCTAGCTTGTAGGATGCTATACTGCTTTCTTTTTCTATCTAAAAGCAAAGACAGCAATTAAAGATACATAGCTTACAACTTTTTGTTCTATAGTGATATAAATTATTTTACAAACATCACATAAGCAGCCAGCTACACATATTCAATATTCTAAGACTTAAAATCTCTTATGGTTCTTATGGTTGTCACTAATTTTTCAATCTAATTACACCCTTAATGGCAGTCTGGCATAGAAAGATGCAGAAAAGGGAAGGAAGCTTGGGAAGGAAAATAGTGAAGCTAAAATGTTATTTTGAAAGTAATGTGTCTAGCTTCAGGATAGGAGTTATGAAGAGGGAAAATAAAAGTATATGGGGCTAACCTACCTTGACTGTCAGTGAAAATTATTACTCTCTCAAATCTGAGTTAATTTCAATGGCACAGATTATATTGAAATCATTGAGTCATGACTAACTTAAAACTCTATTAGTCTCTTCTGTCTGCACCTTTTCCCCATAACTTTTACTGAAAGTTTTTAAAATAGAAAAAACAAATACAAATTAAATTCAGACAAATCGAGAATAACGAGTGCAAAGAAAAAGAAAAGTATATAAAGAAGTGGGTTCCGATCTTCATCACAAGTATAAATTTGATAACTCTTCACTCTCCACCATAAGGATACAGATAAATCACTCTTCTTACCATAATCCATCCTTAAAATCCATAAATCCTCAACTTTTCAGTCTCAGCAAAAAGTCAATAAATGGTTACTGTCCGCACTTTGACTTATCTCTCTAGTCTAGTTCCTGTGCCCAACTACAGTGAAACATAAGTGCATTTACAGACTATTTAGGCAGTTGTTGAATTGTCTTTTTTTGTGAGCTTACATGTGAAGGGGTCAAGGAAACACAGCCAAGAATAACCTACAGTGACATAACTTCAAAAAGTTGCCATGGCAATGAGACACCCTGTTAGTCTAAGATATTTCCCTCACAGATATATTTCTTCTCAAAAGAAAAATTCTAGAAAGCATGCCTAATTTTTCAGAGTTCTGCATTTATTCTTTGTAATAAATATTAAATATAATAAATAAAAATGAAATGTTCCCGAGTGAGTACAAACTAGTCATTTTGCCTATTCTATAAAGCTAGCCTATTCAAAGCAAGCACTCTTTTCAAGGTACATGGTTCAGGATGTGTAAAACTTTTCTAAGTAGTGAGAATTCACAATGAAATCCTTGGGTTTACTTTGAAATTTATGTTGGTGAGGAAGCCTAGTAGTTTTACAAACTTCAAATCCCTCAGGCAGAGATGAGAATTAGTATGAACAGTATTCACTCTTTCAACTTACAGACAACACAAAGCTTCTTCATTAGCCACATTTAAGATGATGCTGACAGCCTGTCCTGGGTCTGGTCAAAAGAGCTGTTCTAAGTTTGCAACTCTCAGATAGGTATCCCAAGTGGGAAATACTTATGCTTTCCTTTGAGTAAAGCCGTCCATGGTACCAATCTGGCCTTCATCCATGTTATGCCACAGATCAAGAAAGGGTGGCCATTCTCTTGACATAAATGAGAAACTGGCACTGATTAAAACAGCAATCCCATAAGGGACTTTTGAGCAGTGGATGGGGAATTCTGGGAGTTGAAGTCCACATAATTTTCAGGTTGCCAAGATGGCAAAATAGTACTTTGGAGTACTAGACTCTTCATGGACAGAGGTATTCAAGATAGCATCTATCAAAGTCAGATATAATTCCATCATATGAAGTGATTACTTGCATATAATCAAGGCTTATCAGCAAAGAAATTTTATCTATCACATTACACTCTGAGGTAGGCAATTCAGTCAGTTTCAGTTATGGCTTCTGAAACTTAATTCACATATTAAGTGTTCCCTTCATCAGATTTGCAAAATGGGTAAGTCAAGGACTATCATTTTCCAATTCTCATCCTAAACCAGTGGTGGCGAGCCTATGGCACGCATGCCAGAGGCGGCACTCAGAGCCCTCTCTGTTGGCACGCACGCCACCGCCGCCAGCAGCAGGTCCATCAGGCCACTACCACCACCCGGAGCAGGAGCCCCGCCCAGCACAAAGGGGGCGAAGCGGCCGACTAGCAAGCTCGAGTATAGGTGGTAGAGCAGAGGTCACCAACCATTGTCGATTGGTGGACTGGAAGGGAAGCATTTTACATGTGTGCATGCACACATGGGGCCGTGAGCATGGACGCACTACAAATGGGGTGGGACTAGTGCCTGCATGATACTCACTAGCCCTGCCCCATTCTTACGTGGTACAGCACCTTGTAGCTGCACCCCGCGACATGGCAGTGGCCATTTTTGCGCCTTGCAGCATGCAGGCTCATTTTTGTGCCCCCAAGTTTTGCGTGCCAGAGGCAGCACTCAGAGGAGCCTCCCTAACCCCCCCCCCCGGGCACCACAATGCTGATGCGGCCCTGGTATTTTGCAATAAATAAGTGGGTTTTGGGTTGCGGTTTGGGCACTTGATCTCTAAAAGGTTCGCCATCACTGTCCTAAACTATCCTTTAGAAAAGAGGTTCATCCTAAATTGCCTTTTCCTAGCTGGATGTGCTCCTGATCCGTGGGTCTGTCATCAATCCAGTTGGCATGGAGAAGTCTGTTCTATGCCTCTGCTCCCAATCCTTGCCCAACTCCCCATCCCAGAGACTGCAGAAACACACGTGTAATGTAACAATGTCAAAATATTTTAATTCGTGTCACACACGCAGTTACATTTTCATACAAAACACAACCAGAGAAAGAGCTTACAAAACATCCATTAAGACCCACTTTCCTTCAAGGGCCTTTATATAACAAAGACCAGGAGCAACAAAACGTCCCAGAGAACTCCAAACCATTAATTTGTTAACACACCCCAGCAGCACCCATCAACACAGCCTACCAGGGTAAGAAAACTCTCCCCCCCCTTTGGTCCTAAATGTCATTTGAAGACTTTTGCAACTCACAGAACATGCTCTGAATGGTAGGATAACAAGAGGTCTACTCTAATCTTTCCAAAAGTGTGCAGGTACTGGAGAAAGGGAACTTCTGAACAGGTGGAAACAAGCTGAAATACTTTCATGCAGAACGAAACACTCGCCACCAAGGGCGTCCAGAAAAGAAGTGTGAAGGGCAGCTGGGGGTTTGCTCCAATCCCACCGTCACACACACACACACACACCCCTTCAGGAGGACAGCACCTGGAGCCACGAGTCCCCATTCCTATCTGACGGTCCCTAAGCGCCTACTCTCTGTGTCTGAATCAAAGCTGCCCCACATTGTGTCCCCGGGATCAGTGGGGGAGGAGGAGGAAGTTCAGAAAGCCACGATAGCCGTACTCCAAGGGTTGAGGTTCCGCAGCACCGATTCATCGCAACAGATTTGTCCGGGCTCTGCCTCGGCCGCTCCTGCCTCCTCCTTCTCTTGCCGCCTTCCCCGTTGATTGCTGCCCTCCCTCTCGCCCCCGCAGGACTTTTTGCTGAGTAGCCCCGAGAAACTGGAGCCGAAGATGCTGATCAGACTGGCCACATTGCCCGTCTCCATGTCCTCCTCTTCCTCCCTGCGGACCTTTTTCAGCGGAGAGCTCCCCGGAGACGTTTCCTCCGTCCCGCCCTCGGGTTGAACAGCAGCGTTCCGCTTTCGGGAGCAGCAGAGCGCAGGAGGAGCCCCGGCCGGCCGTTTGCCAGCTTCGCTCACGAAAGAGCAGCAGCAGCCGCAGCAGCAGCGTGGCAACCGCGGAACTTCCCTCTCAGACGACGGGAGCTTCCGGCACAACGCAGAAGTCCGGGGATCAGACGGCAAGATCGCCCGCGCCGGCGGCAGAAAGGCGCGAGGAGGAGACAAGGGCAGCGGCGGGCGCCCTCCTTCGTCCCCGCCATCTCGGAGGGGATTCGGCGCAGCGGCTGCTGGCGAGGAAAAAGCAGCAGCAGCAGCAGCGAGAGGAGGCGAAGGTGAGCAATCGAATTCACTCAGGTAGGCTTGCCGGGCGCTGCGCAGGACCAGCGACACGAGGAGATTTTTGTGCAATTTCACGCCGCCCCGTTGACCTCGCGCGCTGTACATCTTGCCCAGCGAGATGCTGACGATACGGTGAGCTTCCAGCTTGCACTCCATGCCGCCTTTCTGCAGGCAACTTACAGGGAATCGCCGCCAGCGGACACCCACTTCAACGAAGAGGCGAAGGAAGCCTTCCCTAAAAATACACGTTGCTCAGACACACGCGCGAAACTCGGAGGCGTTTCTCGTTTTCTTAAATTAGCGAAAAGAAAACCACAACATCGCCACGCTGAGACGCGAGCCCGCATTCCGCCGCCACCAAATGCAAGCCTGTTCGGGACGCGCGATTTTTATATCGCCCCTTTGCGTTCCGACCAATCAGAACACCCGGCCGTACCCGCCGTGCTTGAATTGTGTTTCCGCCAACCCCAGTGAGCCTCCCGGCCTTTGGCCAATGAGGAAGGTTGCAAAGGAAAAGGTTCAGCGCTGGCTGGTTGTTTTTAAAAGAGCAACGCTAAACCTCGTGGGTTCTTGATTAGACGTTGCGATTCTCTGCTATGGGGAATTGTGGCGAAACCGGGGTTTATCTGGACACGAGTGTTCCAAGTTTTATCCTGGCGACAAAGGCAAAAATATTAGTAAATCCCGCGGCCATCGCATAGAATTCTTTAATTAAGATTTGATGCGTTGATTTGCACGTTTCTTTTTCAATTAGGCACACTGAACGTGATCCAGAGTTTGTTTACCAATAAAGCGGCGTGGATGGACGGTTGAGGACAAAACTATAATGCAGAATGACTACTGAAGAGTTTGCCACGAAGCTAGAGGAATATTCCTTTATTTCAGATACGCAGTACTGGTTACTTCTTGTTAGTCCAACCGTCAACGGTTTCCCTCGTCTCCCAAGTTTTCGATCTAAAGCCGCCTTGTGAATATGGAAGTGGCAAGTTAAAACCTTTACTCTCACTGTAACAATAGAATAATTCCTTTCTGCGGAGATTATTCAGAGGAATAATACTGGTTTTGCATCATTCTGGGAAGAGCTTATTCAAAACGTTTTGAGTATATTTTGTAATACTTGGACAAGCAAAATATGAATAATAAAGTTGGTTGCATTTAACAATACAGTCTCAATATATCTACTAAAGGTCAAGAATATATGGAAATCAATAGATTCCTGATTGCTTCAGTTATTTTTGCTTGATTTCATTTTGGATTGCCTCACTTTAAGCTTGGGGGGGAGGAGGGAGGTTGTTATAGAAGGCATGTTCCACTTACTGGAAGCTAAGTAGCAAAGCACTGGATGACCATTTTCTCCCCAATGCTATTCCAATTTCTATGGAGCCTCCAAAGCAAAATTCACAACAAACATCTCACTAAGCAACAGAAATTATGGACTCAACTGTGGTCATAAGTCAAGGACTACCTCTACTGTACCCAACCTTTTCCATTACATTTAGGAAGAGGCTGTACACTCCTAGACTAGTTTCTGAATGCAGTTGTAAGTGGTGGTACTGTAGGATGTTAGTTCCAAGGACCAAGAAATCAGTGCTTTAACTTGTCCTTGATTGCAATCCTCTTTAAAGGAGTAGAAGTGGAGTTTGGAGATTATTGTCCCTAAAGAACCAAGTGCCATAGTGATAAAGAACATATTTTACTATGTTCAGTTGAATCACCAGGACAAGAATAGCTTAGCTCAAGGATCCTAGGCAGTGAAAACATCATGCCTCTATTCAGTGCTTTTTAAAAAAAAAAAAAAAAAAAAGGTGCCGGAACTCACACACATCATACAACCCGCCTTGCCTACTCTACAAGGTTCCATCCAAAAAAGGTGCCGGAACTCCGTTCTGGGCGTTCTATGAGAAAAAAAGCCCTGCCTCTATTATTATGTATACTGGATGATGCTGTCCTTATATTTGGTCTGCAAAGCATAGTTAGTGCAAAATGCAGCATCAATATACTGAAGCAATGTGATAAAATTGAATTTCATATCAATTTTGTATATTGTCTAGGGAAGCACTTAATGACTATATTATACATACATACTCATAAACAAGATTGATAAAGTTTCCCAGTTTAAGTAATAAAGCAAACAATGTGTCAATGACTTAATGGACTTTACACCCAAACTCCCTCACAAAAGCCAGATTTTAATCTATTTTTAAAAAGTGGTTTTAAGAAGAATTTCTGCTTTTATCTGTAGTCGAGTTTCACTGAAATCATTTAACTATTTTTTCTTATTAAATATTCCAATGCCATCTATAAAGGGCAGCTTGCTGTCCAGATAATTCATTGCAAAAACCTGTATGTATTTACCCAGAGGTTCAGTGGCAATTAAATCCAAATATGTGAGCACAGAATTACCCTCTAAATGGAGTTTAGTATTTGTCTTGCTGACCAATACCACATTTCCTCACACATCTTGGTTTTTTAGCCACAACATTGATTTATTTTTCTAGTTGGATTTTATTTCTGATTTGACAAATGTACGGTACATAACAGTAGTGAAGCTGGACATAACTTGAAAATAAGAACATAACTGAACTCACTTCTGAGAAGAAATGCCACCTTAAGTTATTTATAAAAATAACAAGATTCATTTTCAAGCTTCCATTTAAATCCCTTCACTCACGCTCAGAAGAATAATCATAAAGGGATACCAGGCTAGAAAGCAGAAGACTGTAAGTTCTAGTTTTGCTTTAGTCACGAAAGCTGGGTTCCTTTAGGTGAGTCACTCTCTCTCTCTCAGTTCCATCCACCTCACAGGGTTGTTGTGGGGAAAACAGAAGGAGGAAGGAGTATTAGGTGTGTTCACTACTTACGTTAGTTATAAAAATAATAAAGGTGAGATAAAAATCTAATACGTTTCACTGGATTCATGACTTAGGGAAGGCAGTAGAGAATTGCACTGTTGATCGGTTAGGAAAGACTATTTCTCCGTAACTGGTACAGATGTCTGCATTCTTAATAGTTCAAAATAAACACAAGCCATGAGAAATGTTTATTTTAAGGCACAAGAATCCTTTTCCCAAACCAGATTCTGGATTCTTTGCATTAAACAGAGCTAGACCCTTTCTCAAGAAAGCATGGAAATACTATAAGCCATCAGGATATTTTCTACCTATAAAAAAACAAAACCAATTCACTAAGAAAACTGAACAGAAATTTTTCTATTAATATAGTCTATAAGATAAATAAATTTAATGGGAAAATGTAATGACAGAATACGCTGGATAACATCAAATGTATCCAGGCTGCTTTTCTATATGTACTGTATGTATCTAAAAATAAATAAAAATAAGCATATTAGTAATCAAGAAACAAATTCCATGAAAATGGCAAAAAGGCAGTGGTGGGATTCAGCTGGTTAGTACCAGTTCGGCAGAACCGGTAGCTAATTTTTTGTTGCCCAGGCCCAGAACAGACTTCCGGAAGCGGCATCCACACAGAGAACTGGTTGTTCACATATTTGAATCCCACCACTGCAAAAAGGTAACAGATAACATTGAAAAGGCAGTATCGCTATAACTAAAAGATTTCAAATCATGGGAAGGAATATTTCACTCTATTCTATAGTGGTCAGACTGCATCACAAGTGTTGTGTCCAGCAAGGAGCTCCATATTGTAATAAAAATTCAGACAAACATGAATAGGTGCAAAGAATGACAATGAAGATGATTAGGGGACTGAAAACATTTTGCAAGAAGACAGTGAGCTAAGTTGTTAACTTTAGCTTTGAGAAAAGACAGCTCACAAGGTACATGATAGCTCTTTCCAAGTACCTGAAAGAATATGATACAGATGGTCAACATCTGTTCTCTTTCCTTCCATTGTGCAGGACTCAGAATAATGGTCTTTAAGTTATAGAAGATGGATGTTGGTTGACTATTAGGAACACTTCTAATTAACAACAAGAACAGCTAAACAGTGGGTCCAATTACTGAAAAGAGAGGTGAGTTCACTGGTTATGTTCAAACAGAGAATGGAAAAACATCTATCAGGGATACTTTAATTTGGATTCCAGTATGCACCAGGGGTTAGACAAAAAGGCTCAATTACTATGCTCTTCCAGCTTTGCTATTCTTTTTCTTCTTAATAAATATGCCTAAGAATGCATTACAGTATAGGAAAAAATGTTAATAGTGGAATCCAACAGTCAAAAACAAAACAAAATGCAAAAACTCTGCGACATATATATATGCAAAGGTTCAACCACTAGAACCTGTAGAAAGGCTTAGCTGCTTTAAGGAGTTACTCCCACAGTCCCCACATATGTCAGTTTCTGCTTCTTGTTCACCCCATCATTGTAACAATCAGCCTTGTTTTCTAAGACTAAGGGGCAATAGGCAAACAATGATGTATGTCAATGCGGCACCTTTCAGATCCTTAAGACTGAAATTCCCTCCTGGCATCTTGTAGGAACTATGCTGAATATCTGACAGACACGAAGTGCTCTAAACAGTTGGAGAAAGCAATAAAAAGAGAAGATAAATATTGCAGAAAACAGGCTGTGACATTACCCTTTTAAGAACACAAATGTTTTTGTTCTAGATCCCTCTCCTCTCCCCTGTGATTTCATCCTCCTCCTTCCTTCTCCCCCCACCTTCCCAGACTGATGTAATTCTTTAGTAAATTTCAAACAGAGGCAGTCAGTCACATGGCTGCTTGTGAGGCCAACAGCCTCTTAGGCAGCTGCATTGCCTTCCCACTTTCTTGCCCCTGTGTGAGAGCGACAACCTGCTTTGATTTCCAGGGTGTGCACGAAAGGGTTGTGGTTGCAGGCACACATGTGCCAGTGTTGCTCTTAAACAGCGGCTATGATTGGTTGTAGACTGTTTTTGTCTCTGTACCACGATTGGTTAAGAAGGCTTACCACACACAGACCCCCAGGGGAATGTTGGAGACGAGTAATCAGACTCAGACTGCTACCGTAATGTCATATTCTTCTTTTTCTGGTTGCTTGTTTTAGTCTATGGGGTCTCTCTGGATGCCTCTATTTTCCCATAAAAATGGCCCCCACCCACCACCCTTGCTCAGCTGGGGTCACAGAGCAACACAGAGAGGGGGAATAGGTTGTGAGAAAGGATGTACATGTGTGCTAATCTCGCTGGTCTGGA